TTTGAAGGAGCAAGAGTAAGATTTATGCTCAGAAGCTATCATTTCCAGTTACTATCTCCTCACCCAAAATAATATATTAATTATACTCATTGCTCACTCTCCAGTGTGACCTAGTGGAGAAAGACAGTTTAGAATTGTGGATTGCACTCCAGACTGGGACCTAGGAGACCTGCCAAGGCAAGTCACTTTAATATATCTGTTCCTCAGTTTCACCACCTGTAAAACATGGGTAATGATACTGACCTCTTTTATAAAGCACTTCAAGATATATGGATAAAAACACTATGTAAGAGCTCATAATAATAATTAACAATAATGTCACTTAAGATAACTTAATATTCTTCAAAGGAAGCTGATTTAGGGAAAAGCTGTATGAATATATATGGGAAGAATCCTCTTCTGGTATCAGTTATCAGATATTAGCAAGGTAACAGTTTCATTTTTCTTTTCAATCATAGTTGGAGTTCCATTACTCTTGAGAGCTATTATTTTCTCAGAAGTTATATCAAAATGCTTCCATGAATCCATCACTACGTCTTTATGTCCAGAACAATTGGTACCAAAATGCAAAAGTATCACATAACAAAGACCTTCTGTCATATCGAGTTCACAGGTATCATCTTTCATACCCATTAATACTTGGAACTGTCAGAGCTATCAAGAATGTCATGACAAGGCCATTATATATAGGTATAGTCAAATTGTTCCTTACATTTTTCTTTTTTCCTGAACTATCTGAATTTTTATTTTAGCTACTCTAAAATTGGATAGTTGGATTTGTTTGAACTGTTTCTGCATTCTCCTTTATTCAGAAAAATGTCTCTATGCTTTATATTTAAAAAGGCATAAATATCCTTTCAGTATTTGCCTTCTGGCTATCTATGCCTGGATGGTTTTACACAAAGCAGAATCTTGTTTGGCCATGCTCCATTTGGACGTTCCTCCAAGTTGGAAGCTTTCTGAGGTTTTCCTTCTTGATATGATCAAGAGCCAACCCCTTTAACAGGTTTTTATTGAGTTTCCTTTAGCATCTCTTGATGTTCTATTCTTTTGAATTTCACATTGTCTCTTGATCTGAAAGTCTCTGCTCCTACCCAAACGAAAACAGTAGAATTCTAATACTGAATTATTTCCTAATCTCTCCAGTGTGCTATGGTGATTTGGGCTACTATCTTCTTGAAGATTATGGTAATGTGCTTACAAGTATTTGGGCAGAATGGCAGGATCACAGGGTTTTTCTATAAATTTATGCTATGAATATTTCAAAAGCATTTTTCCTCTTTCATGTTGCTTAACAATAATATCTTCAGTGTATAAGTTCTTGAAGGCTCTTAAAACATTTGTGAAAGTGTTACACAAAAACTGAACCTAGGGAGAAGTCCTGTGATATTTTAAAGACTAACAAATTGATTAGGTCATAAGCTTTCATGAGCTACAGTTCACTTCTTGAAAGAAAAGAAAAGAAAAGAAAAGAAAAGAAAAAAAGGCAGAGCTGGGAGTGTAACATCAGGGCAAATTAAATTGGGCTGGAAATGGCTCATCTCAGCTATGTCTACACTGCGGAAAAACTCCACCACATCCAAGGAACTCATTTGCTCTTCTGCTTTTTTTGGCGGAAGAGCAAATGCGCTCTTTCGGGATTTTTGCTCTTCTGCTTTTTTTGGCGGAAGAGCAAATGCGCTCTTTCAGGATGCCCTGTATATCTCATTCCACGAAGGATAAGGGCTCTTCTGAAAGAGGAGGCTTTTTGTGCCATTTGGCTCTGTCTAGATAGGGCCAAATGGTGGAAAAGCCTCTTCCGGAAAAGTGATCAGAAAAAGCTATGCAAATTGCGTAGCACAATTTGCATAGCTTTTTCCGATAATGGACTGTAGTGTAGACCTATCCCTCCAACAGTGATGAGGTGAGAATACTTAAAGGTGAAATTCTCTCTTGTAATGTGAGAGCCATGCCATGTTTCTTTTAACCTCTTTTGACATGTCAAATTTGAATATAAATACCAGATCAGCAGTTTCTCATTGCAGTTATGCCCCTTTCGGAAAAGATCCCAGTGTAGACGTAGCCTAACTGTGTGTCCAGTGAGATTAAAATTCTCCAACACTGGGTTTGGTATGTTGCCATTCTTGATGTCTGATTTGTGTCCATTTATTCTTTTGCATAGAGACAGTTTGGTTTGACCAATGTACATGGCAGATGGGCATTGCTGGTACATGTGCATTTAAATAAAAATGGCCGCCGCTTTTTTCCAGCTTGTAGAAAAGCCGGAAAAGAGCGTCTACACTGGCCCCTCTTATTCCTACTTAAAGCCCTTTTCCGGAGGATCTTATTTTGAAGGAATAAGATCCTCCGGAAAAGGGCTTTTTTTCCGGAGGAGACGCTCTTTTCCGGCTTTTCTACAAGCTGGAAAAAAGCGGCGGACATTTTTATTTAAATGCCGCGGGGGATATTTAAATCCCCCGCGGATTTCCCTATTACGACCTGGAAAATTAGCATGCCCCTTTCGGAAAAGATCCCAGTGTAGACGTAGCCTAACTGTGTGTCCAGTGAGATTAAAATTCTCCAACACTGGGTTTGGTATGTTGCCATTCTTGATGTCTGATTTGTGTCCATTTATTCTTTTGCATAGAGACAGTTTGGTTTGACCAATGTACATGGCAGATGGGCATTGCTGGTACATGTTGGTATATATTACATTAGTAGATGTGCACATGAACAAGCCTTTGGTAGAATAGCTGATGTGGTTAGGTCCTGTTAGTGTGTCATTAGGGTAGATGTATGGACGGATTTGACAACAGTGTTTGTTGCCGGGAGTGATTCCTGATTTAGTGTTTCTGTTGTGGGGTGTGAAGTTAGTGATGAGTATTTGTCTCAAGTTGTGGGGGGCTATATGTTAGCAAAGACTGTCTTGCCTCCCAAGGTCTGTAAGAGTGAGGGATTGTCATCTATGATAAATTATAAATTCTTGATGTGTAGGAGAGGTTTTAGGGCTGCATGTAAATGGTGTTCTGTTGCTTTCTCTGTTGGTCTGTCCTCTGTTGGCGAGAGTATGTGTGACCATGCAAATATAGATTCTGCTCCTGAAGTCCTTTCTCTCAGTTTAAAACTAGATGTCAGAGGAGAGCTAATTCAGACCCTACATTCTTCCTCCCCCCAGGAAGAATGTGTAATTCTGCCAAATTGAAGTCCATTTTGTCCAAAGTCCACTTGTTCTCTTGATAGGGTGTTAAGCTTGTAGAAGTTATTGTAGGCTTCCTATCAGGCAAGTGCATAATTTCTTTCCCAGGTATAATTTCTTCCCCATAAGTTAACCTGTTTACTGGGTTTATACCCATATTAAGCCTACTGAGAGTTGGCATTGAAGGGTAAGAGGGGGTTCTCCTGGGACTAGAGAAGGTGAGGATTCCCTGAGGGTCTGTCAGACATGGAATAGGCCATTGTGTCTGGAGCTCTAGTACTGAAGGGAACAAGGGACACCTTTCATTTGTATTAGTTGCTGTCCAGAAATTGAACTGTGTCATCACATCCTGTCTTTCTTATAGGATGTCTGGGAATTCTAATAGGGCAGATCCATTACTACAAACTGGTATTAGGTAATGGGCTTAAATGCTTCACAGTGGATTTTGGACTGAAGAAGTGAAGCTTTCACAGTGTTCAACAGATCAATGCTAGAATTGATCCATTTTAGGATACAGCACAGTAGTGTCCTTCTTTTGAGACTCATTCTCAGATGTGCTGAGTACGGGTGTCCATGGAGAAATGTCAGGGAGTTCTTATTCAGACCCTCCTTCCACAAGTTATAATGACCAGGCATTTGTGGTTATGTGGTGTTTAAACCATAAGAACTGCATAGTATCAGGCTAAACAAACTCTGTTTTAGAAAGAGACAGCTCTTTTCAAAATTGAGCCAAATTCAGCTCACAAACACAAATCTCCAGCTGGTATAAAGCCCCCAAAACGTGTTAGCCATCTACTAATGCTACCCCGGCCCCAGCCCAAATGCATTGGGTTGCTTGGACTTGTGCCAGGGGCTGAAATGACCTTAGGTGGCCACAGGGTCAGAGATGGGGAAAAGTTGCCATAGTGACATGTCTGCACCTAATTTAGCTCAGAGAGACCAAAGGATGTAATCCAGTATATTTTCCCATTGTTAATTTTAAATGAGTATCTCTCTCAGCCATCAAAATGGTATGTAATTTCTTTTATAAATTTCCCAGTTTCCTGCTTCCAAGGCTCTAATAGAGAAAGTTCTGTTCTCATTTCCAACATGTGCAAACCTCATTAGAAACACAGTTCAGTGCAATTGCAAGGGAAGAACTTAGCAAAATTCATTTTATTCTTCTGAGTTTTACAGATCTACATGGAATGTTTCTTTTCTAGAGCACTCAGCAACCCAGTATCTAAACATGGTATCTTCTTGTATGACAAAATTATACTACTTGGCATCTGTAAAACTGTAAAATATAATTATTCCTGATAAAAACTGCAAATTAATCCATTTCCT